TCAATAAAATGTAAAATCGATTTTATAATCCGGCTGTTGTTTAGCCATTATATATTAAATATGATTGGTAGATGGTGCTGTCTCTTTATTCTAAAATATATAATCTATATTGAGAAAACTTTCCACTGGATAAGCCGATTAAATGATGTATCCGATTGTTATTTTTATTGTCTGATCAAATGATGGGATACCTTTATCCGATGAAGTTACCGATGCAGGTACCAATAAAAATTAGGATAAAACCTAATCGGAAAATTAGTTGCTCTTTGTATATTCGTTGTAATTTTCATCGGATAAAAGCACGATTTGATCGGATAAAATGACGAAATGATTGGACATTGCGCTTGATCGGATATATCCATTTGTTATTTTTTAATTGGATTATTTCATCAGATATGATCGGATATTTTTCTCAGCGTAGCTACTATACGCTCGCCACTAATTATTATATGTTACATCACTGGCCAGTAGTGATGCAAATTTACTATCTCGCAGCTAATCATCCACTCGATTTTTACTACACTCAGAAAAATACTATTGTACTGCGAAGAAAAGCACTTGACTTATTTTTCTGTTTTTAAAATTAATGGTTATCTTGAACAAAGAATATTTTCTTAATAATAATATTAAAATATATTTATCACAAATATTAGAAAAGCTAATTATCATTTACTTAAGAGAAGAATTTGTCCCCTTTGCAAGAATATTATAAACTTTATGGAAGAAAAATTAAATTCGGTTAATTGAAATAAATAAATCGAAGTTTTAGTTTTAGTATTTAAAATTTTTTAATATTATGGCTCTGAGGAAGCAATATATAGAAATTAAATAGCCAATATAGGGGCCGAAGTACGGGCTGTTTTAGTGCGATATGAAAAAGACGTTTGTGATGCAGAGTTTTCGGCGCGCGATAATGAATGCCCCGGCGTTAAGCAGTTCGGCATAAACCTAATGACGGGGAGGGCGGCGCCGTCCGATTTATAAATCCGTTTTAAATCCAGAATTAGGAGGGCGACGGCCCGTTATTTGTCTACCCATCGGTGTGGGATTAATAAATTGTCAGGATTAAAAGGGCTCACGATCAGTAACAAACGCTGCGCTCCCGGAGATTGGATTTGGCGCAAATCGGCGAAACTGGAACATAATTCTCGCGCTCTTCCGCGTCGTCTTGAGCGTGTTCGTTTACTCTTCCGCTTTATTTCTCCTTCTTTCTCTCTCCGTCGTCTGATTAACGGGAATTACGACGGACTGTGAAAGAATAAGAACGCTGCGATTGCGCGAATTACAGCGAAGTATGAAATTTATGAAGTAACTGCTGTGCTTCGACGCGAGTAACAGGTTATAAATATCGGATCGGGTACAAACACTGTTTCAGACACATTTATTCGCGAAATTTTCCGATATAGATAAATTATGCACAGTATCGGAAGCGTGCGGATAATAGCGACGGATTAATTTAGATCGTTTACAGGCATTTATTACTCTTTTACGTCGCTTATTGCTCTTTTCACCGCGGTGGATAACTTATTCACGGGATAAACACGCCGTAACGTACGTTACCGTCAATAATCATTGTAATTAAAAACACAGTGTACAATTATATTACGGATTGCATCGTTTGTTATCGATGAAAATGGATGAAAAACTAATCGGCAAATACCTGACTATGCGTGTTCATGTACACATGTGTATGTTTGTGTAATCCTCGTTAACACCGAAGTGCGATCTTTTCAACCGTACGATGAAATAACGCGAACAACGTGTGTTTGACGCGACGAGTTAGGGGAAAGTGAAGACAATACCACTTTGCGACAGTTGGTTCTTCTCTCTCTCTCTCTCTCTCCCTCGAAGCTGAAACGATTTTATCAGCCTTTATCGGTTAATTGAAGTTTTCAAAGATGGTCATTCGTCGAATTGGATTAAAAACCTGACGGTTATTGAAGATCAAAGAAACTCATTTTCCGCCGCTAGTAAAAATACCGCAGCTGCGGACTCTACACGTCGAAGTTGCCGTGTACATAGGGTGTCCGTTTAATTCATTGTTTGCTACTTGGGTCATATTATCAGCTAATAGAGAGACTCGAAGTAGACATACTCACGGCTAAAACACAAACTAGCCATCGTTGTTAAATTTGTTACGTCCTCTGAGAATTAAGTCCGAAGTGTTAAGTATCTTAAAGAATTGCGCGTTATTAATGGCTAATGAAGATTCCGACTTCATGTTATAAATATGTAACGTTTTCTTTCTCTATCAGCATGCCGAGTGAATTTCCTCTGGCTTGACTTTGATGTTTAATTTTTGATATTTAAAGTATCCAGCTAGAAAATTAGGAAAATCAATTAATAAAGTTATGAATGGTGGGTAAAGTCGTACGAAGAGAAATCGACTGTAGATTTTCTCGGCGTTGAGATCTCAATTTCCGAGATGCTCTTTTCCCCTTTTTTTCGAGACACCTCGTGGACACGACGATGAAGACTCGAGGTGGGTGATGCCTCCCCTTCCTCCGTCTGTATTTGTCGATTGCCAATATCTCGGCAAGATGGCAGGAGACGACGGGATCGAACAGGCTGGGATTCCTGGTTCTGATAAGAGTTAGTGCTCACTTGTTGACCCGTTTCAACGATCGTAACTTATCGAGACACGAGACGGCGATTGAGAGCAACGACGTGAGGCTGGGGATACCGAGAGTTTCGGGTTTATTGAGAGGTCTTAATACGCGAGATGTCGCGCGTATGTGTGCACACGCGTCTTCCGCAAGGATTTTTACGGCGTCGTGCCCGATCGATCGTACGACGTCGATGCGGTTTCCCGATTCCCAGCCGAAGAAAGAGGAGCTCCGGTATCCAGCGGCCGTCGTTGTCGACTGACCGAGCGTTAGCGTGTTTTTGTCTCTTCGCGTACCGTCACAGTGAGTGTCGGCAATCCGTGGTCGATCGAGCGTCAACAACGCACGATTCATCGGGGATTATCCGAGTAAATCGAGATTCCGCGATTGACTGCTCGCCGGCTCGTTCTCGATCGGCGCAGTGCGCCAATAGTTAGCTGCTGATCGGCGTTAAGGACGAATTGCCGTAACCATAAACGTAAGACGTAAAGTTAGGATGAGGAACCAATCAGGATATTGCTTTAGATTTATGTACTAGAGGTAATATCATTCGACATAATCGAAGCTTCGAAACTTCGGTATAAATTGACATTTAACGACAAAGTTCGGAGATTCGAATTATTCGAGGCTTCGAGCTCTATTCAAAGATTCAAAATGTCGAAGCTGTTATACGGAAAAAAAGAATGAGTTTTCCCACAGTCGAAAACTGGTCCATATAATACAACTGACATTTAGTTATCATACCTAGTTTTTAGCTGTGACAGCTGATTTTTTTCCGTTACGACGAATATAGTCATGAAATTTAGCTCCTACAGCTAAAAACTATGTCTGGTAACTAAACAAACGAAACTGGTAACTAAATTTCGGTTATATGGAAGATAATATTTCGCTCTAGAGACTAGTTTTTAGCTGTGGAAGCTGANATTTAAAATTTCGACTCGAGATCCGTTTGCTACGTACACGTGTCGCTAAACAGCGAGTGAATTTTCCGTTTTATCGCGTGCGCGCGTGCAAATCATTATGCCCGGCATTTCGACAGATCCCGTGGCGCTGGGGGCCCGATTGGATTGGCTCGGCCGTAGTTGAACAGTATTATAGACGCGGTCCGCGGCCAATGGCGATCCGCTACCGCGTAACTACAGATGGAACTGATAATGGATTGAAATTGTTTGCAAACTACATGGCCGCTTTAGCGCCAGCGAACAGCACGCGAATACTCGCTGTTAAAATCGCCCGCGCGCGCGCTTTTAGTCACTCCGTTTATATAATATGTTTCGATAATTGGTCGGCTTTTACGCGCAGGGCCGAACGCGGAATTGTCCCCACGTGCCGATGACAGGTCCCACCCCGCGTTCATCAATAATGTCGTGTTCGGAGACGTACGGCGCGTCGACCGTCTTTGTCCAAGTTGGATTGCTTCCTCCCTCTCCCTCCCGTCTCCCGCAGATCTCTAATTGCCCGCAGTTGGATCACCATCGTAGACGAGAGAGTCGCCGGGCATAAACTCGCGGTACGAAATAGTTTCCGCTAGCCGGCGGAACTTTCCCCGCCGGCTTCCACACATCAAACGCTGCGCCGCCGTTAATCTTCTTAACGTTAACGCGGCCGACTACTACGACGACTACGAGGGGATCAAGGTCTATCCGGAGCGAACGATTTCCCAGCGATATCTTATGAAAAGCTTCATTCGGAGGATGGGATTTCGGAGGTCGGTTCCAATCTCCGGCGCGGTTCCGAGGCGTATCGCGTGATACGTTCCGGTTACATCTTTAAATCCACGGTACACGCGAAAACGTAAGCAAATTGGCCGGTCACGGTCGATTATATTTCGTAGGGAAGAAAAATTCTCTTAAAAAATAATCGGCTGTGATTGGCCAATTTGCTCATCGCTCGAGTCTCGCTACTTACGTTCTTCTATGTTAGTTTATAATAATTTGCGTTAATGTTTCATGCGAGTGTTCTTATCTCTGCGTTATTTTTTTTTGTACTTTCTATGTTATCAAAAAGTGTTCCCGTTTATGTAGTGGTGAATAAATAAATAGTACGAGCGGAAAACTCTCAGCAGGCGCTCCGGGTCGCTCCAGCCGATTGTGATATCACAACTCGTCATTAACAGAGAGCGAACTCGGGTCTCGGTCGAATCTTCGACAAGATCGTTCTCTTTTCCCCGGTCCTCGTTCAAGTATGACGTAACATCGATATATCCTGCTGAAATACATCTCGGCGAAATATATCGATGTTGCGGGGATAGCGAGCCGAGTGCCGTGATAGAAAGTCCTTGGCGAGGAGGCGAGATAGAAATAACTACCGTCGGGAGATCGCGGGGGTGGCGGTTACGAGGAGGGAAGGTGAAAAGCGAGAGAGAAACTGATAAATGCCGTGCGTTGTATTCACCTGTGCACCGACGAGACCAGCGCGTAATCTAGGGATGTCCGTGTGACTCCAGTCTGATCTGGCCCAAGGGTCGACCCTGCCGAGGTCGCTGCTCAGGTTAACCTCGCCAAGTTGATTGTGTACGAACTTTCTGACGTTCCAGGGCAAATCGTTGTGCCTGTAAATTAAAGCATGCCTCATGAGGTCGTAAGGGTACTCGTGACAAGACGGAAAAACATTAAAGTAAAAGTCTCCCCATTACAGAGGCTGATCCTATTATCGACTAGAACCCGATTTTGTAATAAATTATAAAAAGTAAGGTGGTTGAAAGTAGTATGAATTTTTTTGTCAAAATTGAGAATATTAACGTTCATGTTATATATATTATATCAGACATTAAATTTACACAGTTCAAAAGAATGTTTTCAAATTACCTTTAATTTTGTCTTTTCTTTACCGGAATATATTAAGCATGCACACGAACGCAAAGATTCGTAAATTTTTTTTGTTATATCTTTGTACAATGTATTACATTCTGTAAGTCGTATTATTCGAGTTCGGCATAAAATCTTACACTCGATAACTGAGGTTCGGTAATATCCTTATTGTAGTACTTTTTAGAAGACTCGGTAATTCACATAACATTCGTTTCGAATGATAAAAGAAAAGATTGAATACGTCAATATAAATATGTGAAAAAATGTGAGGATTGTAATTAATGTTGATGTGAAAGAACATGGGCGTCTCTCTGGAATTAGTAAAATAATCTTTTTATTGATATGTTCAATCGGGATGTGTAATTCTAACTTCGGCAATGGAACGTTTTTTATCCCACAAAAATAATTACGCAATTACAGATTTTGACTTGCATGTATAAGAGGGAGAGGCGAGTCAGCGTGTTAGTCTATGACGAGCAATAGCAGGGGTTACACATGTCGCAAGTTCGAACGAGTTTACGAAAACCGATAAATCTGATGTCATTTTATGAATTGTTTGATGCCGTGTCAAATAACTTGTATTTGTGGCGCGATGCCAAAAAGGGGAAATAAATCTGCCGTAATATTTATATTTTATATTACATTAATCTTTTATGTCAATTCAAATCCGTTATTCTACAAAACATGCGTAATTTCACATCTATTATTTGGGAAGAAGTGGAGTCAACTGAATAAAGTAAGATGGAGATGTTCCGATATTATCTTAATTTTCATTACCGCTAAATATTACTGCCGTATTTTTAAATAACTTTATGTCGTTTTGTTGATGTTATTCAGTGTAGATTATAAACAATTTTTATTAAGCCTCTTTCCCTTAGCGTTCCCGAGTTTCCACATGCAATTGATTTTTGAGAGTTAACAAGCGCGAGTTACAGGACGGATATTACACGCGCGTCGGACGAACGCATTTAACCGCATCAACGGCCGCGGTTATATTTTCGTAGATCGGTTTCTCTTTCGGTTTCGGGTCTGTAAAATGATATTATAGCTCTTGAAAATCCCCGCTGTTCTCGGCTGTTGTTTTTTCACGGAGTATCAGCTATAGAATAACATTACGTTCGTAATACAGTACTTGGGGGATAATATGGCACGTATAATGTGTGCTCGGTACCTGCAAATTATAATGTAACTTGAGATTAATGAGCAAGATTGAATCATAACGAATTTATCGGGCTTCACGTATCCTGCCGGCAGTATCAATATCATTACGGCATATTACATACTTCGGGATAATAATTACCCACGTTCAGTAGAGAAAATAATTCAGCGAATGATGATTGATGATTCTTAATTCTGGTTAATATATTCCTTTGGATCTATCGGGAATCTAAAAATTGTGATCGAGATATCAGATGAATATTCGTGTCCACTTAAATGCTGCGAAAGTACATCTGAACGCAGGATCGAATCTTCTTGCTCCTTCACTCACACGCCGAGATTTATCGTGATTTTTCAAAGGCTTTATATCGCCCCGTTTGTATAAAATTATGAGAACTCACCCGTCGATCAGAGGCACTTCAGTGAGGATCCTCCTGATCACGTCCAGCCTCTGCTGGTGCGTGGCAGGCGCGGATTGAAGAAGCAACGGCAGACAGAGGCCTCCAAGGAGCAGGGCGGCTACTAGGAGCAAGACAGGCGCCAACAGCCGACACCTCCTGCGAGGACTCTCGTCTCGGCGATCCTTGCTGCTGCCGCTACTGGGCGAGTCCTCGCACGGCGGCGGTAGTCGCACGGTGCCGTTGCACGGCGCCACGTCTGGCAGTTCTGTTAGGCACGTGGTCTGAAAGAAAAGAAAAATCCAAGCTTGAAATCGCGCGTCTTAACATTTACCGCATTTTATTTCATTTCTTTTCTCACTTTTTCTCACTTTTTCTCACAAAGAAATTCATTAGGACGTTCGTACATTATTACCGTATATTATTATCGCGAGTGAAATTAAAGAAACGTATTATTCCTCTCGACATCATGTACGCCCACACTTGTGAATGTAGCGAAGTCAGTAGATTATACTGACGAATAATTCTTCAAGTTGCATGGTATTTGCAGGATTAATATGGGAACGAAATTTCAATTCGGGAAGGAACTGACTGTAAATACGCGTTCGAGAGATTGTTCGCACAGCTCTCGTTTCGATGGTAATTATTCGGTAATGAATTGGATCGTCAGTAGCGTGTATACACAATGAATTGGGCCGAATCAGCAACAAGCGCTACGTTTCATTTATTGATATGAGAACAACGAGGAAAACATATTGTGATATAGATCCGAGCGTCTCTCAGAATATTACGTTCTGCTGTGCATGTAGCGGAAACGAACGGTACGGTGACCCACGGTACCTGTCCCCGGAAAAAAATATACAACCGATGTGACTGGGAGTGCAGCCTCGAAGGAAGCCTGGAAGGAGGGCTCCTTCGTGGCGTCACTGCGACGCTCTGCAGGCAAACTTTTGTTCGTCCTCGTTTCGACCACCATAAAACACGTTAACGCCCGGCTACGGATTTTCCGCGTGTATATATGTATAGCGTAGAACACACACATATATACTTGCGGCCAAAAGGCGCATGATACTTGGCGAGCCTCTGGGAATTTTCTTAGCTTCTACGGCTGTCATAAACAACTCGTACCAAGTCCTCACACCGACTTGTAACTTTCATGCGAGACATTTGATACTATCCGCAATGGAAACGTCTCGCGTTCCATGCCGGATCCGGCGTGTATAATCGATGATTGAAAGGAGATTGAAAGGAGATGACAATCGAAAGCACAGGAATATTTCGGAAAATTGAAAGCCGTTCTGCCTGAGGTCGTCCTATTAGGTCTGTTCTTTCTCGCTGAATTGGCTGCACTAGTTCTCTTCTTCTCTTTCTTCCACTTCAAAACTTAACTATATATCCGTCTTTTTTTAAGTTCTATAAATGTATCACTAGCTTAGAGAAAAATAACAGACCTGTAAATAGAAGCGAGCGAGGAGAAAATTAAAGAGTAAGAAAATTTCGAATGTCACCGACGACACGGCGATCTTAGCGTTTCTCGGTACACCCTGCCGCTAAACTTTTCTCGTCTCTCGTGATGCACGTTCTTTCTTTTACGTTCGTTTGCCGGCGTCGAGTTTCCCGTATTTATGGAGCACAATAATGCGGATATGCGAGGGATACGAAGTTTCGTGATGCTCGTACGGGGATGGAAGAAACTCGAGAACGACGAGAGCGGTCGGATGAAGCCTGGATTCCCCGACGAGCAACGAGCTAAACCACGAAAGTTATCGTCGGCATTACCGACGCGAAAGAAACGGCGATATGCGTTATCGCTGAAGCGCGAAACGGCGAACGCGATTCCCGTTCCTGGCCGGGTTCTCTCTCGTTTTCTTGCTCTCGGTTCGGTGAGAATCGATTGTCGATATCGCGAGTAATTAATAGCTGCCTGGAGGTAATGAAAATGAAAGTTATGAGTGCCGTTCCGAGGCATGTATCTGACAAAATGAGTAGTTTTCGCGATAGCGCTCGCTGTGTAACCAAAGGATTAAATAGATCACGTTCTACAGTTGATAAATGTACAATAAGTTATAATCAACTTGCTGAGGGATGTGTCCGGCTGATTGCATACATAGTACTTCCACACGTAAGAAAGCGAAAGCCAATTGAAAATAATCGACGTTAATTTAAACCGTGGGAACGAATAACGGATGGCACGTGATTACATAGTCGCATTGATTAATTAAGCCTTATAATGTGATTTATCTTGATTCAATATAGTAATATTATTAAAATTGATACATTATAATTTGTGTTTTAATAACGCAAATTAATATATCATATTTTGTTTTAATTGTTTAACTCAAATATTAATTTCAATGATATATTGCTATTGAATCAAAGAGGTTTACTCTAATTATGATGATTGATCAATTCCATCGATGCAACAGCATTTGTTTCCGTGCATTTCATATGGAGACGTGTTCATATCTTTTACTGATGCCATCGGAAAATATATACATATTCAAAAATAAAATAGAAATAAAATGTCAATTTTCACGCAAAATATCGAGATAACATAAACATAATATGTTAATTGAATTAAGCAATTGTGTTAAAAGAACTCGAAATAATATATTATTTTTGAGCGATATACAAAAAAATGTTAAGTTAATATATAATAATATTAAATTGGCATAACACATGAAAAAAATGGTGGCATATCAGCCGTATGTTAATTTTACATTGAAATAATAAAAGTTAATTTTTACATTGAAGTAATAAAAAAACACTAGGAAACTTTAACATTTGGACTCAAGAATTTTTACTACGCAACAGTGTCACACGCGCTCGCCAACTTGTCACGATTATGCCTGTGTCATCCTATAATTCATAGCACTCTAAAATTATTATAGACATTTCTCAGCATCCAACGTGTTCTTTGCGCGATTAAGCGCCGGGCCGACTTCTCGAGTAGACGCGAAGTGCAAGATTCGTAGTTGGCTCTTTGGGTATGCGTCGGGAAAGCCGGAGGTGAGCGCCGTCGTTGATTCTGCCTAGTGTCTGCTTAATGGAACTAAGAAGCTCGTAAACGTATTAACTACTGCAAAGGACATCGGCTTTGATCTGCCGGTGACAAGTGCCTGCACCGTCTTGAGTCTGCGGGATAGCGAGTTGACGCATCAAGTCGCATTGAAAGCTCGGAAACGAAGCCGCTTTTCGTACGTGAAATCGCGAAGTTGGCAGTAAAGATTAATCGCACCCGGTGTCGGGATAATTCGCCTCAACTTAGCGGCGGATCCTCATCCATTTCCCTTCACGAGCGATTTTTACCGTGCTGAAACCGTGCAGAAATGGAAAGAGAGCATGCATCCGCAGTAGCATTTTAAAGGATCACTTTTCTCGCACATCGCATGTGACCTCGCGATGTAACACGGAAATAAGAAGAAAACTCGGGAGAGGAATTTAACGCAACGCGCAGATGTGCGTAAAATTTCGAAAAGGGGGAAAAAGAAAAGGGTAGATGCGGGCGTGTGCGCGCGTCGGGTCAAAGACTCGTCCTCTCGGCGTGATAAGAGACTTAGAGCCTCCTCTGGGAAATGCATTCTCGTTAAATGAGTTCTGTAACGAGGCTCCTCGCCAAACTCTCTCCTAACAGGGTCCTCCTTCGAGCTTCTTGAAGTGCGCCAAATTTTATGTTTCGCTATAGCGACCGAGAGGAGGGTGGGGGGGATAAAAGCCGCGCGAGTTTGGAGAACGCTTATCTCGTCGTTCATAATTTCGGGAATCGGACAAGTGGGACGTGGCCATGCGCTCAAGAACGGACGATAAGTTTTAAGCCAGAAAGTCCTCGCGTGGAGTTTACTCGTCGTTAAATAGCACGCCTTTGCGGAGTGCGGGATCGAGACGGGTTTGCGATATATAGCTGGGAATACAAGAGGGTCGAAGGGAGGGGAGGGAGGGTGAAACTCTCCTATAACGAATATAATTCATAGCAGCGCACATGTCCGGCTCAAAGCCGCGCCAAACGCCGCCGTTCGCGAGCTTTTCTACTAGGTCGGAGACGTTTTCCACCCTTTTGCACGCGCGGGCGCGTGTATGCGTGCGCGAAAGCGCATGGGGTGAGGGGGCGCAGGCGGAAGGGCTAGAAAGAAGGGCTTGAAAGGCGGCGCGACCAGACCGACGCTGGGCGCGCGAGCATTGTCAAGTTTTCGTATAAATTTCTCCTCGACGTGAATTCAAAGACCGCCGCGGGGGGTCCGAATAAAGCGAGCCGGAAGGGGTGGTCGAGACGAAACGAGAGCGGAGGACCGGTTTAAAGAGGGGGTGGCATTTGAGACTGCGTACCCTCTTACGCTCGCCGCTCTCCCGGCCCGCACTTTCTCCTCTCTCCTTGCTTTTATCGCGTCTGTCTCCTCGTTCTCTTAATTCCGGTGCGATTAACGGTCCGCGCCGCCGAGAAATTAGTCCTTCTTGTTTCCATCCTGCCCTCTTTCACCCTCCCCTATTGCCCCGCGCCGCTTTTTCACCGTCTTGGCGTTTCTGCTCTCTTCGTTCCCTCCTCTGTCCCGCCCTCTCCCTCCCCATCTAATTTTCTCACTTGCCTTCGAACCTCGATCCACTTGAAATTAACGGGGACGCGACGTCCTCTCGTTTTGCGTTTTCCGCATGCGTTTTCCGAATGTTATAATCCGGTTTAATACGGCGCCCAGCGATAAACATTATAATTAGATCGTTCACCGAGCGAAGGGAGACACTAGCGGGAAATTGTTAAATAAATTATCGTTGAGAAGCGCGATGCGCATTAAAAATTAACAGGGAGACTAATTAAAGATCGAGCGATAAAATCAGATGAAAAACAAGACACAATTTGTACGAGCATCGGAAAAAGTTGGATTTAGGTACGCTGCAGGTGAAAGCGCAGATGAAATTGTATTGATTTTATGGCCGTAGAATCGATAGTGGCGGCGGCATGGTCGAGGGGTCGATAGGTGCCTTCTTTTATTTCACTTATTTTGCGCTTTTATTTGAAAGAGCTCACACTGTATTTATCTCGCAACGAACAGTATCAGTCGGCTTTTATGTTAATTAGTTTAGTCGAGTGGCGCTCTCTATGTAATGCTTAATCGAACGGATGAACCGTGAACAGGGGGTGGAGGGGGAGTGATATTCTGAACGCAAAACAACACCGCTGTTTTCATACGAAGTAAGTTATCGTAATCCGTACGGAAATTCGACCGGGCTTGGAATCTCTATCTCGGTGGGGAAGGAGGGGAGGGTTCGCGCAGGAGTATAGCGAGAGCAAGGG